TTTAAACTAGCGCACGTTAACTAATTAAGTTCGGATAGCGATAATATAAATTTGAAAATAAATTTCATTGTAATAATTTGCATAAAGTCTAAAAATAAAGGATGTAAAATAGACCGATTTTTGCCCGAAAAGTTTATATTAATTAAATAAAAGAAAGCATTTTTTGTATATTTTGATTTTATGATGAATATGATAAAGTTATTGACGACAAGTTATGAATTCGAAAAAGTTCAGTTTTTCTCAAAGAGAACTTGGAATTTGGAGAATATCTCGAAAATGATGTAAAAACATTAAAATGTGAATAAATACATAACGTGCTTAATTTTCGAGATAGGCATTTCTTAAATGCTAATTTATTAAAATAATGTTATTGTATCCAGAAGATCAAAATCACAAAAACACACTATTTGTTTTATTTATATATACCTTATTTTTAGTAAAAAAATTGGCCTCTTTTAATATCCTCTTTTATTAGTAATAAATGAAATAATATATGAAATAATAAAAACAAATGAATTATTATAATCGGTAAAAAATTTTTCATGCATGAATATAAATATGTATAAACACAAATAAATATTCATAAACATGTATAATTATATATGAAATATGGCCATATGAAATATGTTCATATACCCTTTTTTCTTTTGTAATTACTTTTGAGTGTAATAGAAATAATAATAATAGTAATGTGAAAATTATTTTACTATTATCACTGAAAACGGATAGAAACAGAATAATTTCTATATCGATATCTCCTACTTCCATTATCAATCACAGTTGATAAATTATTATCGCGTCAAACGAAAGAGATAATCCCAGTCATTTTTAATATTTCTATATAAGAATTGTCATTACATTTCTTTCAAACCAGGAGATAACCATAGAAGTATATATCGCGTTCTATTCAATCCAATAAACGAGAATGAATTAAAATGGATTCAATTGGATTTAATTGAATTAAAAATTCTGAATAAGCAATGCAGCTTTTTCAATCCAACTGGATTAAATCGATTTGAACAATTTTTGCGTTTCCTACTCTCAAAATTTTGAAAAAGGCATAAAAATGTGCTTCATGTAATTTCTATAAATAAATAAAAATACATTCGGATTGTAAAGGATTCATTTTAACGTTCGCGAATGCATATTTCTGAAAAATCTGAATCCATTTCAATCCATTTCAATATATATTCTCATTTACTGGAAAGCTCAGATCATCAGACGAGTAGGCATGTCATACTTTTATATTTGTAAATGATTTTTGCATGTTATTTAATAAGAGATATGACTTTTTTTGTATCGACGAAGCTAATAAATATAATATTTTGAAATACTTCAATCACAAAATAATAGAATTGTTCCAAACATTACAAAGATTCAATAGATGTATGTGAGACATAATGGCGTTTATTTGACAATTCACAGGAGTGCCCTAAATAGTCTCTGGATTATAATAAAAAGATAATCCCTGCAACATGAATAACTCAATTCATTGATCAACTCAACTCATATTATGACAACATGATCAACTCAATAATCATATTAAATTCATAATTGTGTTCATTGATTTTTATTTTAAAATTTACTAAATTCTTTATAATCTTAATGTTTCATATTGAATTATTAAGATCATAATGAAATCTTAATAATGTTAAAAATGGGTCAACTGTGATATAAATTTCATTATGCAATTTAGTAATATCTCGTTATATTATTCATTACAACTTTAAAAAATTTCCATCAAGCAGATAAAAATAAAAACAAAAAATCATAGTATATTTTACATTCCGTTTAAACGCGAATCTGTTCAAGAAATCATATGGTTAGTGGACATCTACACATGCATAAGGTGACGAAGAATACGCGTTAGAAAAATCGGGCGATCTAGAAATGTATTCTGTTCCATAACGTATGATTTATCTTCGTTTAACATTCGGAGAACAAGGATAAAAGATGCATCATGAACGACACGAACACATAATAAATACTGCATGAAACGAAATGCATCTGATAGTATTTTATTTTTTTATTCACAAATGTTAAACAAGGATAACATGATGCCTTGAAAGCGTTCGGGTGGAAATTTGAACGTGTCCCTTAAGATTACAGGTTTAAATCACCTGACACTTAAAAACTTGAAAATATCAAATTTACTCTTTAAATCTCGTGGAGTGAAATCTCACTCGAAGAGACTGACAATTGAGTCAATCTTGAAAAAGGAGTGAAAATACATTTTTGTTCAAGAGTGGCAAATTTTCACTTTTTTTTTCACTTCGCGAAATTTAGAGAGTATTATTACCTCTTTTCTGCGTTTCTGCTTGGTACTCTCACCTCGCTTATTTCATGAAAAATTTAATTTTTAGTTTCATTTTTATACAATATTTTTTTTTACGTTTCCTTACTTAAAATTAAAAATTGATATTTTGTCAATATTTTTGTTTTATTTTATAGTGCTGCATAGCTAGTTTGATAAAATATCATTGAACAAAAATTAACGAAAGAGTATTTGAAAAACTTTCTAAGAGAAACTTTCTTAGATCTTCTAAAAATGTTTTTTAAATTGATGTGAAGACTCTTTTTACAATGACATCGAATTTCTTATGTAAAAATTCATTTTTACAAGATGATTTTTTTCAAAATTGTAAAGTTTACAGAAAAAAGAAAAAATTTGTTGAACTTTTTGCATGAACTATTTGCATTTGTTGAACTTTTTCAAAAAATTTAATAATTCCTTTTTAACTTTTCATAAATTGCAATTAACTAGAGAACTCCTATTATCGACGATTAGTATCATTATATCAAACGAATGAGATAATTCCGGTCATTTTTTAATATTTCAATACGAAATATTCAGAAATCGTTAAATTCCATTCAATTGACGAACCAAACATGACAGCCGCAAGAGCATCACACACAAAAGATGACTTGCATTTAAAAAAGAAAAAATAGTTTTATTTCTATACCGTATTCTTTCCAAAACAGCGTTATATATGTATATTAATGCATCATAAAAATATTATTCTAACAATTTTTGTCTAAACGTAAACTGATTCGTGCTCATGAGCACATCATTCATCACGTTATCTATCGACTCCTTTTTTTATGTACATCTACTTATCTTAATTTGTTAATGTATTATTTAATTATTTCTATAATTGTCCCTCGCCCAAGACGTATTT